TGGAACAAATTGGTAATAGCACTTCTTTGTAGACTAAAAACGTTTGAGGTTTAGGAGTAAAGTCAATACTAAAAAGAACAGAAACAAATTCACCTATAAACCTTTACCTTAATGTTTTAGAAAGAATTGGTAATATAAGCATGTTAGTTATTACAGATAAAAACTAAAAAAAATCTAAAAGCAAAAACTCTTTACTTTAAAAATTGTTCACAATTGCAACATTTATAACATTTATAAAAAGTTCTTTTTCACTTAAAAAACAAACTTTGATCCCTAAAATCACTTAAACTCTGACAGTAAAACTGAAATATTACCAAAGAAAATTTACATCAAGACATTAAAGTTACCCTTAGATTCAAATGTCAAATATATCTCAAATAACAATTAGCACATAAAGATTTATATTATATGCTAACAACCATCCTGAAAAAAACTCAGTGTCAAACCTTATGATTCAAACTACTAAAGTTTACCATCTTATTTAGACAGAGTGCACATAAAATAATTGCTGCAAATGCAAATTTGCAATTTCCATGTTAAAATGCTTAATTCTGCCTATTTTTGTTAAAAAATAATCATCTCATTGAATAAAAGTTCACAATCTGTGACTCAGATTCATCTATGATGGAACAACCTCTGACAGACTGGGATACTGGACTGTTTGACTGCTGTGAGGATGCAAGTACATGTAAGAGTCCAATTATTACGCATCAACTTTAGGGGTTGAATTCTTATGTTGCTTAAATGAATAATAAAAAAAAAAGTCTCAAACATTATGATTTAAAATAGTAAGCTTCTCCTTTTTACCTTTAAGCATTTCTATATGAATGCTTAAAGACTGTATTTCATTGTGTTCAAATATTGTCTTTTTCAGGTTGCTATGGCTTCTGGTGCGGTCCTTGCCTCGCCTGCACTGTCTCAGAAATGTTTGGAGAGAACCGCTGTCTCCCCTTATGTGATATATGTTTTGATTATATTGTCCCTCCTGCAGCACTGTCTTTAAGGGTTGCAATTCGACGCAAATATGGAATCAAGGTATGAAAGAACAAGTTACAGTAATAACAAATATAAATGGTTTGGAAAAAGAAAAATGTTTACTTGTGCTCGTTTGTAGGGTTCCCTCTGCAAGGACATTGTTGTGTCCTGCTGCTGCACAAGATGTGCCTGGTGTCAGATGCATCGGGAGTTGAAATATCGGAAAAACTCCCCTGTTATCATCAACTTACAGGTGCAAACTGTTGTCAACATGCAGCCTCCTTCAATGATGGCAGTTCCTCCAACTGCTGGTTTGCATCACTAACAACATATGGTTCGGTTTTAAATTCAACATTCAAAGGACCACTCTTTGTTTTGGCTCATATACAAATGCAACAACTGATTTCTATAATTTTTCACTTTTCTCCATTAGAAATGGTTCTAAATACTGTAGGTTATCTTATATAACCAGATTTCCAAAGAAAGTCTTGCTCTGGATATTCCTAAGATGTCTTGTGTCTTTCTTTTAGTAGACAATGTACATTTAACCATGTTCTTCACTCTGATTAAACATAATAAAACAACAAAATACGTCTGATTAACTTGGTCAGCCACATACTTATTCCTAGCATCTGGGCTAATCTTATAACATATTCTGTGGTGTGAGTAAGTACTATTCACATGTCATTTTTGCACACATATAATTTTTCTGGGACCAGTCAACCGTAGTTCCCGATGGCCTCTGAGTATCTGGGATTAAGACAGCATTTATAAGTTTATATAAAATTCTGAAATGTGAAACTAAGTTCCGGGGTTGCACGGTGATGAAGTTTGTAGCACTTGAAAAAAACTTGAAGAAAACATAACTTTATTCGTTTACTGTAGTTTTAGTCAACAAAAACTGTCAACATTTTAGTCTAGTTTTAGTCAGGACATCATTTTAACCTTTTACTTTTTTGTCAGCAGATAATATTTAACATTTCCTAAAATTATTTCACATTTCAACATTTTCTCTCATCTTTTTGATAAAAAACACAATTTTAAGGAACACATGCAGACATGGAAGATGTTCTGACAATATTTGCATTTTTATTTTGAACATTGTTAAGGTTCAAAGACACTAACACAAATGCTTGCATTAAAACAAATTAAATACACCTGACAAAGGAAACAAATAAATGAAATAAAGTGTCTTATGAACTTAACACAAGTGCTGGCTGTTTAAAGCTAGTTCACATAGAATAATAAAATAAATAGATTTGAGGTCAATGTTGTCTTTGTTTGAATTTGTCCTTTTCTGACAGGTATAGTTTGTCCACAATGTTTTTCATTTTAGTTTTTTTTTTGGAACAGTGAGCCTTTTAGCAATCTGATCCATCATCTTGACAAAATCCTCACTTTCCACAGTCCGTGAAGGGAGGCCTGTTCGGCCTCACCACAACTCTGACATAATAAGCAGAAGAAGATAAATAGATTGATGAAGCTAATTCCCCAAATACCTACAGATTCTTGCAAGAGTTAAATAATAAAAAAAATAAATAATTCAAAGTAACCATCTATATAATCATTAGGAGAGCATTAACAGGGAAGTATCTGGTTTTTGCTTTAATACATCAGTTTTTCTATTCTTATCCTTGCAAATGGGAATTATTTTATTTTAAACATGGTTTATTTCAAGCCCAAGCTGCTGACATTCTTTTTTTTATTTTTTCATTTCTGTAATAAGCTTTGGCAGACTGAATGTAGTATCCTCATTCTTTAACAAATTCTGATGGAAGGTAGAGCTCCTATTCAAACCTGGTTTCAGTATTTGCATGCGCTTGCATTTCAACCTAGCATTTGCATGGGCTTGTTCCAGCTTATCTAGCATTTGATCACGTTTAAACCAAAGCATATAGAGTGTGATGTAGTATCGATAGAGTTTATGCATCTGTTGAAGCCTGTACAAAAGAGTTCTATATACAATATGCGGTTGAAAGATCCTCTATTACAGCCCAAGGGAAAAGTTAAATGCTCTTTATGCTTTTTATTATGCGTAACGTAAAAATAATTTTAGTTTACAATGGGGCAGCAAAACAGAAAGAGAGAGAAGCTTCCTATTTAGACTGAGGGTTGATGGTGAAGAGATATGTTATTTAAACAAATAACTCTAAAACTGTCATATATTGTTTTGCGAACATACGCCCAACTGGCTTTGCGTTAAGACAACAAATGAAAGTGTGAACCGAGGTCAAATCATGATCAAACAGTTAACTCTGCACACGTGGAATAAATTCACAACACCTTCTGTTCATGATAAATACATGAGATTTAAGAGTCCTGCACAGTACATTATGGCATAGAAAAAAACTTACTGTCTCCATGGAGTATACCCCCCCAGGTTTTCTATAAAATTGTGTGCACTTCCTCCTTGGATGCTTTTTCTGCCTAAAATCTTAAAAAAATCATGAAATAATAAAAATAATAATAAGTAACCTCTGCAAAGTTGACAAAAAAATCACTGAGAATCACCTTTTACTTTAACTTTGTTGTAAAACCGTTCCAAAGTCTTTGTTATGGCTTGGTTTCACAACTTAAATGTAGTTTCCAATAAATTATGTATTAAAATCCTTTATCTTTTCTGTTTTAAGAGCATCTTGCACAGTGTGGTCATGACATGGGGCACGTACGCAGCTGTGTGACAATAACCAGAGATGGCAAAAGTACTCACTTTCCGTACTTGAGTAAAAGTACAGATACTTGTGTTAAAAAATACTCTGGTAAAAGTGGAAGTACTGATTAAACTTCTTTACTCAAGTAAAAGTAACAAAGTACAGGCTTGTAAATTTACTTAAAGTATAAAAGTAAAAGTAGAAACCACTTTTTTCATGCCGTTGCCTACATTTTAAATGGATGTCTGCCAATAGGACTAGATCTCCGTTGTGTTCATTTTCAATCATCTCGTCGTCCATGCTACTATGCTAACGCCACCGCCACCAAGCTGCAATGATTGGCCGCCAATGAATACCGCCAAATCTGTCGATTCATCTTGTAGTGGTGCGTCAAATGCAACGTAGATTCCCATCCAATTAGATTGAATTTGGTATTGATGGCGTGAAAAATAATAACGGTAACTCCATTGAAATGATTCAAAACTAAAGTAACGAGACAATTTTTAAAATGTAAGCAGTAGAAAGTACAGATATTTGTGTAAAAATGTAAGGAGTAGAAGTAAAAAGTCGCCATAAAAATAAGTAGTAAAGTAAAGTAAAAATATCAGAAAAATCTACTTGAGTACAGTAACGAAGTATTTGTACTTCGTTACTTCCCATCTCTGACAATAACTGCAGCTCTGCTCTATTCACATTTAGGAAAAGGGCTGGTAATTATTTAAGACCATTTTTTAAAACAGGACTCAGTTATATCAGGGACATTTTATCGACATGTAGGATGGAGGGACAGAGTGAGAAATGCGTGAATGTCCGGCTCAAATTGGGACATCTGGTCAGCCTAATGAGAAATAATATATCACAATCACGTTAAATAGGCCTGAATGTATCTAAAGTGAGGAGTGATTTGTAAACACAGTTTCTTTAGGGGTGCTGATCTCATTATTTTGCTTTAAAAACAACCAAAAAAATTAAGTTAAGCAAGTTAAGCATATGTTAAGAGTTCAACATAAAAAAGACAAAGATAAATTATCTTCTGTAAAGATTTTATATCTAAGTGCAATTACTGATATGTGGACTACTTCATGGATAAGTAGCACCCATAAAATATTTCTAATTATCTTTATGTTTCATATGTGTTTTGGAGCTTTAATCTGAAAAACAGAGCTGGACAATTCAGGTCCAGAAAATAAAAAAGCCACTATTTGCAGCTCCACACAACGCAATCACTTTGTTAACAGAAAAGGATGAAGGAAAGGTAGGCAGGGCTTTTGCTTTCTGACCACATCAACTTGCTATTCATAATGCAAATAAATAGCATCTACATGAGAATGTATGCAAATTGTGCAGTCCCTTAAACAAATAGTTTGAGGTTAGCACGTCTTCACCACAAAAAGGTTAGTTAGTTGTTGGATTTCTCTGGATAAATCATTTGAGACCATACAGTACTTTGCACAGTCCGTGTTCTAATAAAACAACACTAAGTAATTACAAATCTTTGGATTACAACAATTTTGACCACAGTTTCTCAGGTAAGACATTCTGCTAAAAACCTTAATCTATTTCCAAAACACAATAATAGCATTTTTCCTAAAGGAAGTTTTAAAAAGTAAAAGTTTTAGCTTTTAATCTTTCCATGTTTGCTACAATTTCAAATGGTTTTTATTTCTGTGTATTTATGTATTTATGTATTGACAGTGGAAAGGAAAAACTCCATTTTACCAGAAAAAAACTCAAGCAGAATAAGGCTCAAAGGGAGAGGCCTTCTGCCAAGGCTGATTGGAGGTTCAAGAGGATGACGACAGACATACAAAATGGTGCAGGAATACGATACAAAAGTTAAAGTTTCTTATTTTTAACATCATCATGTCATTGTTTCGCCACAGTTAGATTCAATACTGCATTGCTATTAAACTCTCACACAGCCACTAGAAACAGAAATGAAGTTCAACCCAACTGCAGGCGACGGGAAGATCAGGATTTTCCCCTGCTATGGTCTTTGCCACACTGATCCTTATTATTCCTGCTGGCAAAACAAAACAGCTTTTGTCCACTTGGGGAACCAAAATCGACCAAAATTAAAAGGTCTTTAATACTGCTGTAATAAAAATACAATAAGGTTAACATGTGCAGAAAAAAAGCATAAGTTGATTCAGCATTAATTAGACATTTTTTGGCACCGATACCGATACCCGATACCTGGCTGTGCAGTATTGGTCGATACTGATACCATACCGATACCATCTGTTTGAAATTGATGTGTGTGTGTGTATATATGAAGACCTGCATACAACTTGGATGTAAAATAATTGCCATCATGGCTTTGTCAAGCTGCTGCCTACCTTTGTGAAGCAGGAAAAAGACTAATACAAAGTGAATCTAGTTGAACTTTTTATTTGCCTACCTGGAATGGGTGATGATAGTTGAATAAACCTCTGGTTCTCAAAATGGTATCGGTGCGCTATTTGTTGGTACTCGCCGATACCACCATTCTAGTGCTGTATTGGGGCCCCGTCCGATACTGGTATCAGTATCGGCGCAACACTAATTTTAATCATTAGAATTTGAATACAAAACATCACTGATTCATTAAAATGTTTTCAACATTAGTTATTATGCTAGAATTGCGTGAGTTTTTGAGGTTTGATCTACCATTGATGATCTTAACCAGGAAGCAACCTTTTTGACTATAACTCAACATTGGCTGCTGGGGCCGCTGACTGGACCGGACCAGGCATTTGAACTGGGTCGGGTTCGGTAGCTCTGTCCCCAGCCCCGACCAGCCCTGGATCTCACGGATCTGTTCTGCTGCACTGTAGTCAACCAAAATCCCAGACGATTTTGAAATTCCCCCCGGACATTCTTTTAGGTATGAAAAGTAGGACATGTCTGGGAAAAAGAGGACGTCTGGTCACCCGACCATATCAACAATTTGAACCAATCAGCGCACAACTCATCTAAATATTCATGAGCATAGCATAAAAGGAAGAAAACCTGTTGTTTCATTCCGGGGCTCTTAACCAGGGTTGCATTAGGGCTCATAGAACAGCAAATATGCCATTTCCACCAATGTTACACACCCTATTCAGAGACCTTAAGGACCAGCAGCAAATAACCTATATAATCATTCTATGACGCCTTTGAAGTAAAAATTACCCTTCACTATGAAATTTGTTTTGCTAAGAAAAAAGAATGACACCAATTACTGGTATGTTTGATCCAAAGTGGTGGAATGCATGGTATCCAGGAAATTATCCATTAAAGCTACAGTGTGTAATAATTACAGGCATATAAAGTCAGAAATTTAATATATTATACATAACTATGTTATTTATCATCACCTATGAGCTCAGCCTTTTAACCATAATATTTGCGCTGCCTTAGAATTCGTTATTTATAATTACATAGGAGCGGGTCTCGCAGCCATGGAGGCTGACATCTTTGCGCTACGGCAAGCGCAGAGGCAACAAACTAGCGATTGCGAGATCTCCCATGACGCTCGAAAATAACTACGGCAAGTTGAGAGAGATGAACTGAGACGGTACTGAACAGTAGATGGCAGTATTATGCCTGAGAAGCGTTTAGTCTGCCTGAAACCAAAGAAGAAGAAGAAGCAGGTATACTGCGCATCAGTAACAAGAAAGGTGAACAAAGGCGGCAGGCGTGAGTGACTTTGCAAACTGTTTGGCACTGTGTGGCCAAACATCAGACGAATGGAGGATCATGCCTACTCTGTATCACAACGAAAAGCGGCGGACACCGAACCCCCGTCATCTAAGAAGCGGAAACACGACGAGAATAAACGCAAGCGTGACAAGAAACGACAAAAAACACGGATCAACATTGGCACGGCATTTACACGATGGAAGTCACTGATGGAGGAAAAAGGTTTTCAAAGTGACGCTCAAGTTGCCAGTTTTCTCTTGGACAGGTAATTAATCCTACACACACAATTGTCTAATATCACTGCAGTTTTTGGAGTACAGGATGCTCAGACCTGTCTAAAACAATAACATGCTGCGGCGTGATGATGCTGTTCCTCTCCAGTATACTTATTCAGCAACGTCCCTGACGTTTCATAGGTAATGATTCAGTAATTTTCTGTAAAATAATTTTCTGGATATATACCTCGGTTACTTCTCTCCGGCTCCTTTGGAGATCTTCAAGCGTTTCCTCCTCTGCTCTCACCCCGCTGGCACCCCTCTCTCGCCTGGCCCTAGCTGCACGGCCTCCCTGCCTTCGCCCTCGTCCTCTCCCTCTTCCTCGCGTTGTAACCCCCGTGCCACCAAAATGACTTGGACTCTGTAAACGGGGAATATATATTCTTCCAGCGAACACAATCTCGCTGTTAAACTAATGACTACAATTAGTAGTCTGTTTATATCACCATGCAAAGCAGCTCACCAAAACGTCACAACGATGTAGAAAAAATAACGGGTATATTTATTATCTTAAGTCTACATGAAATCTATACCCTACTCAGACTAATGAAATACTATCTGTAAAATTATCTATGTAAACAAACCTCATCACTTGAGAGGGTAGGTGATGCGGACGTCGTGGAAGAAATTTTGTCCCGTAACGCTCGCCGTACTGTTGGGGGGGAGAAGCGGTGGGGGGGAGATGTTCATGTTGCTGCGGTCTGCAGTCTGACCGCTAGATGTCGCTGAAAATTACACACTGTAGCTTTAAGAGTCTCTGTTTACCACAGAACAAGCTTAACAGAAAGACTGCAGGGTGAATGACAAGGTAAAACATTAAACACTGAGTGTTGGTTCTTTTTTCTAGTTTCTGCAATAAACTTATTTAACAAGTGCAAGTTCAGAATTTGTGTCTCCGATGGAAGAGAAACCCCTGAGAGACTGGGACAGTGGTCTCTGCGACTGCTTTGAAGATGCAAAAACATGTAAGAGTCAAACTTTAAATCTTCTATAAATAATACAGCGCACGAACCTTGATCACACAATGTCTGTGTATTTATGTTTTAGGCTGTTAGGGTTTCTGGTGTGGCATTTGCCTTGCCAGCACAGTTTCAAGACGATTTGGAGAAGGCAGCTGTCTCCCACTGTGGGACGTATGTTGTTACGGGTTTTATGGGTGTATTCCTCCTGCAGCCGTGTCCATGAGAGCTGCCATGCGATATAAATATAGAATCAAGGTAGGACAAGATTAGATGTTTAGACATTATTATACACATCATGTTAACAGTAAGCGATTTTTGATGTGCTCATTTCTAGGGGTCCCTCTGTGAAGACATATGCATTTCGTTTTGCTGTGCCGGCTTGTCTTGGTGTCAGATGCATCGTGAGCTGAAATTTCGCAAGAAGGAGCCTATTATCCTCAATATGCAATCTCAAACAGTGGTCAACATGCAGCCTGCTCCAATGATGATGATGCCTCCTCCAGTCTATTATCCAACCCAGCCAGCGATAGTCCAGGCTTCCCCCCAGTAAAGGGCTGATCTGATTTCACCGATTATGCACAAGACAGTGATCTTTTGAAGAATTATGCAAAATGGAAGGGTGTGTTTAGATAATTGTGCTTTATTTAGAAATAGAATAGAACAGAATAGAAAATCCCTTTATTGTCCCCCAATGCTATGGAGGACCAATCCTGCCATTATAGAAAACACATACAGAAATAAACTTAGGACTAAATAATATAAAGATGCATGAAAAAGTGGCTAATGTTATGAATTTGTGTGCCATTAAATGCAACATATAAATAAAAAGAAGTTATTTCTTTAACAATTGATCAATTATCTAAAAACATTTATCATAACTTCCACTTTTATTTTATCTTTTCTTCTTGCTGACTTATTTTGAACCCATTTATTTTCTGTAATACATTATTTTATTTTTATTTTTATCTTTATTTCATGTTTGTGTATTTATTACAAGTTGTTTTTTTTTTGTTCCAGATTTCCACTGTAACCCTTTTCATTGTTGATATTTATTCACGCCAAAATTAAAATACATTGTTATTTATGTTTCATGCCGATTCACACCACAATATTTTTACACAACTATTGGCCAAAGCCTAGCTCCCCGGAAATGGTAATTAAGTAAGAGTAGTGCAGGATTGGATTTTCCCTCCAGGCAAAGATGTAGCAATGACTAACTTATGGAATGCCATAGAAAACTAAGGCAAGTTGCTGATTTGTCAGAATACATCACGATTTCTAATGATTATGTTCTGTATTGTCTCGACTGCTTAACAGACAGAATCAAACTGCTAGAAGCAACTACTGAAATAGATCTTGACCCAGCAGCGTTAACCCCTTGAACCCTACGGACCCACCGGCGGGTCCAGCTGCTACGTGACCTCGTAATTTTACCAAACCCCCAGTATTGATGTAAAAAGCATATTTGGCACAGTTTGGTGACATTTATGGATAAATGTGCCAAAATGGCCTCTCCGCCTAAGAAATTTCTCACTAATACCATTCTAAAATAAATATGATTCATCTGATTGAGTCCAAATTTGGTATATTTTTACACAACATTTAGATTTGAAAGTCTGTACTACTTTTTTGTGCTATAAATAATATTTTGGTAGTGTTTTACAATGTTTATTTCAAAGAAAATTTTGGCGAGGTTCAAAAAATGCTAAATATTTTGTATTTTGTCCCTAATATTTCAGGCAGGGTCAAAGCTACAATGGTGCTGACACCAGAAAACCATTCTATGACATCTTACCTTTACAGACGTACCAAATGTTTCTTCTTAAATCTAATAGCTTTGAGGCTATAAGTTATTTACTTTTGTGTGTTTTTGTCAGGCAGAAATTTATTTATACTCCCTTAGGGTGTAAGAGGTTAAGAAACTTGGGCGAGGTGGTGTTGTGCTAAAAACTGACAGTCTGCCAAAAGGTGATCGGCTTAGATGGGGTGTGTCACCGTAGAGCAGCAAGCTCAAAGAAATCAAACACTATTTTGAAATCAAATGCTATTAACACAAGTAAAACAGTTATATTGTATAATCAAGGTTACATCAGATGTGTGTATTATTTGCCTTTCTCCTCCTCTTCTCCCTATCAAAGGATTCAATCTGCAAATTTTCCCTCATAAACATCTCAAAATCCTAAACAGACTTTGGCAAAAAAGTCAACTTTAGGCAACGTATTTGCAGTAAGTTTGCTTAGATTTAAAAACATTCTGTAACGTTACTGTACTGTGATGGATGTAACTCAATAAATTATTTAAGAAAAATGTTTTTGTCATATTTTGTTTTTTATTGGGGGACATTATCCATTAATTTTGAAAAATGAAAGTACAGATAGTGCACACTACAAAATGCCAAATTTCAAGGAAGAACCAAGGTTTATTAATATTGATCTGAACTTCCAATACTGATTAAATTCCTTGAATAGAAAAAAAATTGGGCATCTTAACTCACCAAAGAGAGATAATGAATTATCATATGAATATCAAAAGGACATTCTTTCCTAAAGTCACTTTATGACACAATATTAAATATATCTTCCTTATCTCAACCCCTCCAACACAAAAATAATAAAAAAAGACTACTTGCCAAACAATAATTCATGCTAATTTATTTACCCATAGGTTAGGTTTATTCAATGATGATTATAAAGTTAATGTGTGTCCATATGGAACATTGGAGAAATGAGATGCCTCACTCTGTTTACTGCAAACTGTCATGCAACGGTGGTAGAAAATTGCTGATGTTTGTGCAAGGCTAATCACAGTTATCAGGAGACCAGTCTATTCTGTGATTCAATCAGAGGATTATTTTGTCCTATGACCTGATCAATTGCCTTGTCAGAAGAACACTATTTTGTAACCCACCCCTTGTGTTATGATCTGCTAATAAAAAGGCTTCTGCTGAGGAAGCCCGTCAGAGAGTAGATGTAGCTGAACGTAGCTCTCTCCTTCTGCAGAAGCCGTTAAAAAATCCCGCTTCTGTGTGGACTCAGTTTCTTTTTTATGAACCTACATTTTTGAACCCAACACCATACAATATAATTTCTTTGTAAAACTGCTTTATTCCACTCTAAGGTAAATAGTGTAATATATTTTATCAATCTGACATGTAAAAAAACACACTTTATTTTTACTTTATGATTTGCTTATACAATTCTTTATTAAAAAAAACAAGGTGAAGATGGAAGGTCAGACCTATCAGGTTTGTTGAACACATTTATTGAACAATTTGTCTTAGAAACTGGCAACAAAATGTTGAACATGTAAAATAAGCTCTTATTGACTTTTGGAAAGAATAAGGCGAACAATCCTTCCTCCCTTTTCTGTAACAGTTATCTTACAGTTTCATTCATAGTATATACTGAAGCTATTTTACTTTTAAAATAAATCCAACAAATTGGTATTATTACATTTTCTAGCTGCTTTTAAAAAGATAAACACAAATCTATGACTGCCACCATTCCAAGTTAAAACGTCTGAACTCCAGTTAAGACAGGGGTCTAGTGTCGGTATTTAAACTGGTGGAGCCTGGACATCCACAGTGATAAAAGTGTACATTTTGTCCTTCAAAATCTCTTTGACAGTATAATTTAGAGAATTAAGTCCATCAGTATCAATATTGATTGCTGTTTCTTTTGCTTTGATAGCATTCTTTGGATTTACCTCATTGTGTAAGTCTCTTTTATGTTTGATCATCTTGTATTTTGCAATTTTGGCGTCTGGCCGTGATATAGACATTCCTCGAAAGATGATTCTATTGTAGAGATCGTCATCCTCACCACCCCAGCCCCAGAAAGTGTTTGAGAAGCCGTTGACCTTCAAGAACTGCTCCTCTGACAGTAAGGAGACCCCACCGAAGGCCGTTACTGAAGATAATACATAGTTAAATTTGTCTATAGCCACTGACAAATGTCTTGGATGTTCAGAACATCTGTAGAGGTTTCTATCGTCTATGGGTACCAGGTCTACATCAGCAAAGGCAAAACACTCATAACCGTATTCACGTAGTGCTTCAACAAATCCTATATTCATCAGTTTAGCCCGGTTAAACACTCCGTCTCCCTCCTGGTTGATGATGTAAACGCCGTAGTCCAACTGTTGGTGCATCAGGATCGGATGGACATAATAAAGCCAGTGGTTAAGGTGTTCGTAACGATTTCGGAATGGGATTATGATCGCCACCTAGAAGAGGGATGCAGTTAAAATTTTTATCTGATAAATTGATGCATTGTAGATGTAGTTATAACAGTGGAGGACAAAGACTCCTCTAAATAGTGTTGTTAATGTTGTCGCTATGTCGAAGCCTTTTCTTTTCAGTAAGGATAACTTTTAATCATCATAGCATTTCAAAGTGACTTGATTTATGGAAAATCGACATGCTAGAGAGCTCTAGAAGCTACAGTACTAGACCTTTCTTTGCAATAAGGCAACGGTGTTAGAAATGAGTAGTGTTAGAAATTGACAATGACTTTTGTTAATTATAAGCTATTTAAATGTTTCAAAAAAGTTCTTTGCTGCATTTCCATGTTAGCAACTAAACCTTTTTTAGTAATAAATAAGAAAACATTTGTTTCTTTTCCCCTTTTTGTTACCCAGCGTTTTAAATCCAATTGATCAAAAATCACTTTATCGTAAATAAATGAGAATGAGAAGATAAAGGATGCATGCCAACCCGTGATTACCCTCAGACCCTGAAGCAGCTGGAGGAACCGGATAGATCTACGTCTCACAGAGAACGGAGAGCTCTGATGTCAGGGTGTCCTCAATCGGCAGCTCATACCACTCCCTCTGCACCTGTGGTACTTCCTGGTCTGGCTGAAATACCAGATCCCGAACAGATGCAGCTGGGAAGCATATGCTAATTTGAAATTTGTATGAGTGTAGGAGTCTGCAACCTGTCATATTCAAACAGCTATTTTTGGTCAGACTAGGTAACAGCCATTTAGACCCGCATTATTACATGAATCTTTAATCAAACACAACCTGTTATTTTTTTTTCAAATATCTGTTGTGTAGGGAACCTGTTGCCATCTTAAACAACCAAACATTAATTGGTATTTCTTGCTTTTAAAATAGTGATCAAATATATAATTTCCAAGCTAATTAAAAGAAAAACGGCTCTAAAAACATATTTCTGATCCTTTTTATGTCTTTCTGTTGTAAAGATTCAGCTCAAATATTCTTTATAAAAACCACAAAAGCTCCTATCACCGTTTTTTTGTTCTTAAAGTAGATTGGTTAGTTATTAATATCCTTTTTAGCTTCTATTAAAAACAATTCCACAGGTTGCAGACCCTGGCCTACCCTTTACCCTATTAGAAGCCTAAATCATGTATCATTTAACAGTTGATGGGCATCGGTAAATGCTACATTTTAGAAAAGACCTAGTAAAATCTCTTTTAGTTTGTCTTTAAAGTAACTCCAGAATCTTGTATTTGACGGATTCATATTTTTTTCTTTTCTCTGTGTACAGAAACAATCCTTCTGAGTCTGAAGTTGAAGCTGAGTCTGAAATTAGACTCAGTATCTCTACTTCACTTTACACGTTAACATTTAGCATCCGTTCATTTGTCTTATAATATACTTGTCTACCTGTTGACTTACCTTCTGCTTTGAAATGTAGTTTGGGGGTTTATATCGTCCTCCCTGGCGAAGTGAAGACCCAACATGATTCCTGACACTCTCCAGAGTGCGTTTGGTTTCGAACTCAACAAGAAGTGGACCCACAAGAGTTGGAGGGGTGTCAGGGCACACATCCAAATGTCTACTTGTTGTTTTATGGCGGACGTCTGAGGTGTGAGTTGTCCAAACATGCTCCATAATCTTTCTAAAAGGGGTCCGGTTTCTTTCCAACACACCTTGTGGTACGAAAGGAAGTCTCATAAAACTGCCGTTGCTGTGGAATGAAAATATAGTGTAACATATTATTGAAAAAAAAGCAGAAAGTGCCAAAATGTAGAAAATTTTTCCCTGCATATCTTAATGTTCAGCACTGTGTTCACTGCGGTCCCTTTTCAGCTTTGCTTCTTATTTTCTCTTTCACTCACATAAGATCCCACCTTTTTTTTTTTTTCACAAAAAACTTGCTTATCTAATATACCAGGAATGTGCAAAGACGGTTCTCAGAGGTGACTGTACTGCAGGTTTTACAGGTTTCTCTGCTTTAGCAAAGCCGATTATCGTGATTACAGTTCAACAAAAGCCTGTTAATCACCAGATAAGGAAAATTGGCGGGGTTGGAACAGGGAAACCTCTTAAACTGAATACTGCCTTTGTCACAGTGGTGCTGAAGGTTTGACAGGACCCAAATGCAGACACAAAACTTGATAGGTTACTTAAAGGTTTAATAACAAAAGTTTAACAGAAGTAAAAATCCAAAAATATAAATCCACAAAAATCCAAAATGCTGAAAACCAAGAATACTCACAATAACAAGGGGACAAAGTAATGATGACAAACCAGCAAAGAGTAACAGAACAGGAGGAGATTATATGGGGGAGAGAACCAAAGACCAGGATAATTAGCAGATTGGGAGCAGGTGTGAACAGGGGCAAGAAGGGAGCTAGAGAAAAGGAGACTGACACAAGAGGGCAAAGAGGAAATATCTAAGAACTCAAATACAATAAAAAATACCTAGAACACAAGAATCGAAAACTCAGAGTGTGTATGGCTGTTTCTTTTGGACAATTTGAAGATCAACTTGATAAGAGCATTTCAAAGCTAGCTCAACAACTTTGGCTGTTTTTTTTTTTTTTTATCAATGACTGTTTGAGACAAGTTTGGAAGTGTTCAACCGGTCTTTCTTTTAAGTGGCTGTGGCTTGTCTGCAAGTGACATTGCAGCTTTGATGGCTTCATAGACTCGTTTGACAGCACAGTAGAAAAAAATGACACACATTGGAAATTCAAGGTCATCTGTCTGTTTGAAGGTAAACCCAAACTTCAGATAATTGTGTGTATATTTTTGGGTCTTCTCTCTTTTAGGCTTACCCGTTACAGCTGTGGGGCCTACAGCAGGCAGGCCTACATCATCATTTTTATTTTCACCTGTGGTATCTGAGCTGGATGGAAGGCTTAACTGTTTTGTACTTGTTTTCCTTTCTTTTTTTGTGTTACAATTGATCAATTCTTTATTTTTTCGATTCAAACATAAGCACTTGATGCTAACATAATAAGAATGGACTCTTGGCCAATCACGGGGGACCTGACAGGGCCAGCGAATCATATACGGCCTTGTAATTGGTGGTGCAGCGATAGGGGCGGGAAAGCTGCAAGCTGCCTGTTACAGCCTTTGAGTTAGCTTTTTTTTTTATTACTTCAATTCTCTTTTTGTTCATACTTATTTGTTCACGGTAACTATTTGAAGTCCTGCCCTCTCTAAAGATGTTGTTTGAGAGGGTCTTCATGTTGTTTTAATGCCTCTTCCATCAGCTGACGTTGTTTACTCCGGAGAACAGCTGATGGCACTAATAAATAAAATCTGTTAATCTCACAGAGAAAGAGTCAGTTTAGAGTCACACATCTTGTATAGGTACAGGGGACAGAGCCGCTGAATGATCACTTGAACTCTGAAGTTAATTCACCAGCTGTATTTCTCACTGAAACTACAAAAGGGCCACTATAATCTTTTCTTTGTATTATTAGCTTATAATCAACTAATTAAAGCTTTTATACTACAGAACTATGTTTGCTATTTTTTTATATCTGTAAAATATTCATATCACATATTTTGTTTGATTGTGGTGCACCAGTATTTTTGGGAATCGTCTTTATTAACTAAACTTTTAATATTCTTTGCAAACATATATAGTTGCACATTATTTCCAGAGGGCAACAGGAAACTGTTCTTGATAGAATTTTTTTATTTACAAGAAGAAAACTGAAGTATTTATATTACAAAATGGGGTTTTATTCATTAACGTAAGAAACATTGAAAAGTGCATATAACTGAGTTTTAAAAAAATATTTTCTACATCAACCAATGTAAAAACTTATTTTTTTTACTGCGTTTCTTTTCTTATTTTATTTTATGTTATCAATTATAAGATTGGATTTGACATTATACCTCACATAAGTTACAAACTAAAATGTGGCTAATCAAACCACTTTTAAAAGTCGATTATTACTTTTAAGTACTACTCTTTAGTCGTCACAAACATAAGACTTGCATTTTACTTTTGCAAAGTAAAAACAGTCTGTTTGTGAAATTTTCAGCTAACATTGAAAGAAAAGGTTATAGATATATTTGATATATTTAACAGACATATGTTTGTTAAAGAAAGATTTAGGAAACAAATTCTTTAGAAATGTTATCTTATGTTTGGATTTTGGTGTAATGATGGCAAAAGATTGTTCCTGATTCTTACTCATCTCAAAAAATAGTTGTTGTTCCTCATTATCACTTTAAGAGGGAGACTATGAACTGTTCTCTGTTTAATTGTTCTAGGGATATGAAAAATTATGTTTCAGTAAATGAATCAAAGATATTTTAACTTCCAGTTCCTGATTAAAATAGTAGGAAATATTTTGTCCGGACACCTTGGCTGTCAATCATCCCATGTCATCTAAGTCCCGCCCACAGGTAAAGGGGCCAGCTGTTCGACAAAAAACATAATTCCATTTCCAATGTTATTTTTCAACGTTTCAAAAAAAAAAAGATTTTGAACAAACTTTATGGACAAAATTTAGTTCCATAGTTCTGAAGAAAAACCTAAATCTCATTCCTCTCATACAGATTAAAGCTCAGTGACATGGACCCTGGTTCTCCTTTTAAATAGTGCAGTCATGTAAAATGAGTCACTACTATCTAAGGAAGTGGAATAGGTCTGGAATAGTTTGATCATATGTTTAGAAATAGAAAACAAGATCTAATTTAAATTCTTTTTATTTTTTAATGAAACAAATTTCAGAGTTCAGACTTCTCCTGGGATGCAGCAGCAGTTGGCTGAAACACTGCAGATCCATCCATGCATTTAAGTCTGAGTATCTCCATCAGGAACAAAAGATCCTTGGAGATGTCCTGGCTGCCTGTGCTGCTGGGACAGACAGAACCTGGTTGGGTCATGGTTCTTATGATCCGGTTTAAGGAGAAGCTGTGAGGAACCAGCTGATCTCACTGTTTGTCACATGCAGCTTATGAGCAGACTTATTTCAGTACCTGGAATCTTCCTCCTGTTGGGTCTGTGTTTTCAGTTCTCCACTGTTTGCCCCAGAGGACTGGTCCAGACTGGTTTCCTGCAGCTCACTAGCACCAAGGATTTGCAGAACTTCTTGTAACTTCAGCCGAGCTTCTGGGTTCTTGGGGTCCTGCAGTGTAAGGAGATCAGACCCATAACCATCAAGGTTCTGTAAGTTTTCAGGCCAGAAGGTTCTGGACTTTGATATGTTCTGCTTTGTTGGTTTCAGGACATGTCGGTGTAAAGGGTTATGGCAACAAAAATGGGACTAAAGTGTTTAGACATCAGTCCAGGCATCTTTCTTCTATCATTTCCACCAGAATAAGAACTAGAACCTGGAATGGTGGATCTGATGGGATCTGAACCATCTGATGGGCCATGTCATTACCATAGCGACATCTCTGAGAACAAAGGCAGCTCTCTTCAGGTCTTTTTCCAGCTCTCTCGTCCTGCTCCTTTCCTGCTCCAGTTTCTCCTCCAGCTGATCGACACCAGACACTTTCTGAGCCCGGAGCTGTCTGTGGACAGATAATGTGGAACATTAAAAGGGTTCTAGATCAGATGCTTTCTTTGGGCTGCTGTTGCTCGCTGACCGGTGGACCCAAAGGGGAGCATAAAGCTGCATCTGTTGCTGATGTTCTACCTGTAGGCCTCCTTTATGTCTTTGTTGTTCTGCTTCCATCTCTGCAGCTTGTTGATTTGACGCATCATAAGGTCCTTTTGCTTTGTCAGCTTCACTGATGTCTAAGAAGAAAATTTCTGCTTGAATTACAGAAAAAAGAAAGACACGGACAGACCTCCACTCAGGATGGTACCTCCTTCAGGCTGTGGATTTGTCGGATCTGTTTGAAGGCGATGATCCTCAGCTTGATTGCTGTCTGACTCAAACTCTTCACCTTGCGCAGCTCCAACTCTGTTTTCTCTTCAAGCTGGCAGATTTCTTTGAGCTGGCTCTGCTTCTTCCTCTCCTCCTCAAACTGCGGTTTGATCTTCTCCTCCTTGATCCTGTCAGAGCCTCAGCTGTCAAACTGACACCATAATATGGACTTCTATGTGTAATGTCACTCACCTTTTCTCCTCCTTGACCTGATCCTGTAGCTGAATAAACATCTCCTTCAGTGACTCATTCTTCAGGATCTGCTGCTCCATGTTGACCAGCTGCTGCTTCTGATCCTCTATCCTGGAAGCTGATAGTCAGGGACAGAAAACGGAGACACAAATCAATTAAATTCAGTTCAGTTTATTTATATAGCGCCTATTCACAACACATGTCATCTCAAGGCCCTTTACAGTCCAACCAGGTCATCCAGTCAAATTGACTCAAAGTTTTCTATCTAAGGAAATCCAGTTGATTGCATCGACTCATTGACTTGAATGCAATCCCTCACACTAAGCATGCTCGTAGCGACAGTGGAGAGGAAAAACTCCCTTTTAACAGGAAGATCACTAACATGCTGTTCTTTACTATCAGGTCATAGTTTGTTTGAGGAATTTGTGATTTGATTCTGTTCACTTGGTTTGTTTCTGCTACCTTCTCCTGCAAACAGGACATTTTCTACTGCTATATTATAAAATCGTGGTTAAAAATGGATAGAAATAAAGCCTTTGGGTGAGGATGGAACTCTGGAACCATACCGTGGGGCAGAAGCTAAAAGGTTTAGAAAACTGCTGTAAATGTTCAGTTTGGACCTAGAAAATCTAGGTGATCTTTGCTGACTGACTTGAAATTTTTGTTTGCATTTCAGAGACCTTGGTTCTCTGATGGAGATGCTCTAATATTCACAGACATGGAGGCCAAAACTAACATCCCTAACAGGAAACCAGTAGCAGACAGAAGCCAAGACTGATCAAATCCAAGAAACCTTCAGCATCAGACAACATCAGAGATCCTATCCACATCTAGACCAACTTCAGTTTCCTCAGACTTTCAGAAGAAGCAGCTGTTCAGTCAGCATCTTACCCAGCATTGTCTCTACTGAGATCAGTTGCTTCTCCATCTCCTGCATCTCCTTCCTATCCTGACTGATCAGCAGCTCCAGGTCTTTCTTTGTGGTCTTTCTGTCCACCTGCAGCTGTTTCTCAACCTGCTCGCTCATGTCTTTCTCTATTTCCTGCTGCTGTAGGCACTCCAGAGTATCAGGCATGTCGTCCTGCAGAACTTTGTTGTTCGCAGCAACGTCTTTGTTCTGTCCCTGCAGTCTGTGGCACTGAGCCTGATACCTGCAGGACAGTAAGACACGCAGAGAGAAAATCAGACATTAAAGTGTCACTGAGGCAGATGCTAAAAGATGCACGGACTGGACACAACAACCAAAAATCAGATCATTTACTGGTTTTAGCACCAAAAAGGTTAGAAATCTCTGCATGTTTACAAGAAGAGGAGCGAACACAGCAGGATAAATGATCATAGCTCAGCTCCTCCAGAACTTGCAGATGAACACTGAACAGCAGATCACCGTTCATGTTGATCAGAACTGTAGAAAAAAGTCTCCAGACTAAAGGAAAGCATGTAACTTGTCAAATCATCTCTCATTATTTCAGTTTGAGCGAATCCTCCCTCTCCCTGGGATTATTAAAGTATTTCTGATTCCTGGTTGATGGGACAGGTGTTGTGAATGAAACGGTGCCCAGCTTGAAAGAGCTCCCGTGTGTCGCTGAATGTGTGCATTGATGACTGAAAGACATCTTCTGCCTCCATTTATCTGTTTACTACAGTGCGTTGAATTCATGTTGATGTGGATTTAAAGACATTTCAATTGGTGGGGAAAAAGTCTAATCAACCAAAATCTTCACGACCCCCATGCAGTACCTCCGTGGACCCCCTAGGGGTCACGGACCCCCTGTTGAAGACCTTCGGCTTAGTGTGTTTTCTTTGTAACCACTAGGGGTGCTAGAGGCCACTGGCAGCACTGTTGGTAAATGTCTCCCTCTGTGTTTTACAGGTGCTGGTCATAAAATTAGAATATCATGAAAAAGTAGATTGATTTCAGTAATTCCATTTAAAAAGTGAAACTTGTATATTATATTCATACATTACACACAAACTCATATATTTCAGATGTTTATTTTGTTTAATTTTGATGATTACAAATGACAACAAATGAAAATCTCAAATTCATCATATCAGAAAATTAGAATATTACTGAAGACCAATAAAAACAAAGGATTTATAGAAATGTTGGCCAACTGAAAAGTATGAACATGAAAAGTATGAGCATGTACAGCACTCAGTATTTAGTTGGGCCTTCTTTGGCCTGTATTACTGCAGCAATGCGGCGTGGCATGGAGTCGATCAGTCTGTGGCACTGCTCAGGTGTTATGATAGCCCAGGTTGCTCTAATAGTGGCTTTTAGCTCTTCTGAATTGTTGGGTCTGGTGTATTGCATCTTCTTCTTCACAATACCCCATAGATTTTCTATGGGGTTAAGGTCAGGAGAGTTTGCTGGCCAATTAAGAACAGGGATACCATGGTCCTTCAACCAGGTACTGGTAGCTTTGGCACTGTGTGCAGGTGCCAAGTCCTGTTGGAAAATGAAATCTGCATCTCCAAAAAGTTGGTCAGCTGCAGGAAGCATGAAGTGCTCTAAAACTTCCTGGTATGTGGCTGCGTTGACCCTGGACCTCAGAAAACACAATGGACCAACACCAGCAGATGACATGGCACCCCAAACCATCACTGACTGTGGAAACTTTACACTGGACTTCAAGCAACGTGGATGAAGTGCCTCTCTTCTTTTCCTCCAGACTCTGGGACCTTGATTTCCAAAGGAAATGCAAAATTTACTTTCATCAGAGAACATGACTTTGGACCACTCACCAGCAGTCCAGTCCTGTTTCTCTTTAGTGCAGGCAAGACGCTTCTGACGCTGTCTGTGGTTCAAGAGTGGCTTGACACAAGGAATGCGACAGCAGAAACCCATGTCTTTCATACGTCTGTGTGTGGTGGTTCTTGAAGCACTCACTCCAGCTGCAGTCCACTCTTTGTGAATCTCCCCCACATTTTTGAATGGGTTTTGTTTCACAATCCTCTCCAGGGTGCGGTTATCTCTCTTGCTTGTACACTTTTTTCGACCACATCTTTTCCTTCCCTTCGCCTCTCTATTAATGTGCTTGGACACTGAGCTCTGTGAACAGCCAGCCTCTTTAGCGATGACCTTTTGTGTCTTGCCCTCCTTGTGCAAGGTGTCGATGGTCGTCTTTTGGACAACTGTCAAGTCAGCAGTCTTCCCCATGATTGTGTAGCCTATAGAACTAGACTGAAAGACCATTTAAAGGCTTTTGCAGGTGGTTTGAGTTAATTAGCTGATTAGAGTGTGGCACCAGGGGCCATCAATTTTGAACCTTTTCACAATATTCTAATTTTCTGATATGATGAATTTGAGATTTTCATTTGTTGTCATTTGTAATCATCAAAATTAAACAAAATTAACATCTGAAATATATGAGTTTGTATGTAATGTATGAATATAATATACAAGTTTCACTTTTTAAATGGAATTACTGAAATCAATCTACTTTTTCATGATATTCTAATTTTATGACCAGCACCTGTAGTTCTGGTATCAGATAATTTAGATTGTCCACAGAAACAATTTCTATCTCTGATTAGGGCAATTCCGGCAACCATGATAAATTTGGTCAAAGGAATGGTTAAATATTCTGATGTAACACCGATCTTTCCCACTCTTCTTATAGATAATTAAGATTTTACGGATCTCAAATTTAATTACAAAATGATAAGAGAACAAATAAGCAATACAATTTTTCCTCTCCCAGTTAAGAGGAACTTATCTTTAAACAGGTTTTCAGAGATGGAAGTTTTTAAGGTTAGAACCAGATTTTTCTAATTTCATAAATTACCAAAGATGAAAGAAGTTCATTTTAAAACTATAAATAATATATATCCATGTGCAGAGATCTTAAGTTTAAGATTTAAATTTGATCTTAATGTATGTATATTTTGTCAGAAAGATTTAGAAACACAAGAACATCTTTTTTACAATTGTTGTTGGGTTAAGTCTTTTTGGGACAAGATTTATGATTGGCTATTAAAGAAAAATGTGATTCCTAAAGTTTGAATATAAAGGAGTTAAATTTGGCATTACTTTTCATGATAAAAATGTAGAATTTTTATGTAATATTATTTTCATTATGGGAAAATTCTTTATCCACAAGTGCAGATTCTTTAAAGTTTCTCCAAATTTTCAAGCATTTCGAAATGATATTAAAAGTTTTCATGCCTCGATTAAGTTACTGGAGAACAACAAAGTCTTAAAGTTTTCAGACTTGATAGCAATATACTTTAGTTAAACCCCTGTGTTTTGTTTTTTGTTTTTTAATTTAATTTGAAATTTTCTTTCTTATTCTTTTATGTTTTATGTTTCTTTTTCTGAAAGAAAACTGTTATGGATGGCATATGTTCAATTGTACGTTTTTGCTTTTCTGAAAGTGTTATTTGGATTTATGAAAATAAAAGTAAAAAAAAAAACTTAAACTCTGTTTAAATAAAGTAAAAAAAAAAAAGTCTGATGACGTCAGAGAAGAGCTTTAAAGAAGAAAATGTGAAAAGCATAAAAATTGTCAAATAAAAGTCATAAAACATTTTTTTACAAAAAAAAAAAAAGTTCTGGTATCAGACCAGTTTGGACCACCAGCTTGAGAAGTCCTGGAGTTCCTGGTGAAGACGAGACCAAGGGCTAAATATTCACCTGAAAAATCTATTAGTTTATCTCAAATTAAGCTTATTCTAGGGGTCAAAGGTTACAGTGTTTCCTTTAACAAATACAACCCTTAATCATTTCAAAATTTGTATTTAATCAGTTTAACTTTGTCTGAGATTGAAATGTGTTGGATGGTTGGATCCATTTAAACAGAATAAAACAGACTAAATAAATAAATCAACATATCTGCAGCTCAGCAGGTGTCCAATAACTGTCCAAACTGGTCAGTTAAATCTGTTTAATGCCCCCACTGTTAGGGCTCTCTGCATAGAACATCTGTTTCTATTCAAATGTATGCATATCCATGCATATTTCCTATTATGTCCACCAACGGCGGGGCTGAGATCAGATCTGTTTGACAAAAAGTCCAACAAAATCAAACCTGAAATGGATCCTTGTGAGTCAGAGAACAGCTGAGGAAAAGGACCCAACTGTAACCAGAGTAAAATTGGTTTCCAATGCAGAAATCAAAGTTAAAGCTCAAATCTAGAGACTTTGGATCAATAATCTGATTAGTGTGCGGATAGACGGATTGGATATTGATTGGGTAAAATGGTTGTAGTTTCCTGTTTCTCTTACCTCTCTAGCCTCTCCTCCAGGAGTTTAAATCCACAGTTTTTTCTTTGTCTGAACCGACGCCTCTGCTCTCTCTCACACCAGTTTACCTTCTCACTCTATGAAACAAAGATGCTAATTTTGGTTCTTTGATCAACTATATCAGAGGAATACAAAGAATATCAATAGCCATTTAATGTTGCTAGGCAACAAAGGGAGTCACAGAGGTAGTGAGTCCAACTGATCAGAATAGAGTTCAACCAACACACCCTAACTGACCTTATGAGTCTAAAGATTTTGTTCATCATTTTGATTGTGATGTTTTTAAAGTTTGTTATATTTCTTTCCTGCTTTTATGTTTTAAATGTTTCTTAGTTTAAATCTGCTGCACTTAGAGACAGCTGTAGTTTTAAAAGGCCTTTTAAATAAATGAAGTAATTATGTTACTGATACAGAGCGCAGCCTACTGGGAGCAACAGGTATTACATCAAATTAAATACTCAAAACCCATCAGCTGGTTTGATTGTCTCAGATGCAGGTAAACTAATGAATACAGGTACTCCACCTCACATAGACTCAGGTTTATTGATCACCATTTAATTCCTTTTTTGTTTATTTATTGTTTTTAATCAGGTTAACAGAACAAGCGGCTTATCAATGACTTAACGGACTTAACATCAGATCTAAAAAACTAAACATGCTTTCTAGCCCTCATTTTTTTTCTTTTTTCGATTTACAGCATAACTGGGAGCATAAAGCTAGAGATAAAAATAAAACTATAGCATACATCTGTAAGCCATTACAGTCTTCAACCACCAATAGGCTAAAAAAATCCCCAAAATCAAACTAAAGAAAAATGTTTAAAAAGTGAACAAGCTTCACCATCTTTATTCCTCTTTTTGTATTCACAGCACGGTGTATGATAGAAGTGATAAAAAATAAAAT